AACTCCCACTCCTTAAGCAGATATATATCATGACTTTATACTTCAGAGCCTTAAGATAATGGGAATGATACCTAAATTAATTCTAAGAGGTCGTTTGCATTTCCAATGTGTTTGACTCACTTGAAATACCAATCGCTGTGACCTCATTCAGTAAAACAGTTAAAAGGACAACATGGTATGGTTGTTCTTAAGTGCCAATAATTTCCTCACGCCACTTTGAATGACTTACCTGCAACATTAAATGATGTATGAGTGGAATGAGTCAAACTGCTGTCTCTGTTAAGCACATACTGAAGATGTGACTAGTGTAACACACACAAGAGGAGAGAGATAAAAGGCACGTGACAGAGTGGCGATGACTCAAGCATAGAAATAAAAACAAACGTGTCTTACATTAATGCAGTACATGTTGTTTGAAAGTACTTTCCTCAAACCTTTCATCTGGTATAATTTCCAGAACCATGGCATAAATAAGAGCTTGAGACTCAGCAAGTCAGTAACACGCTCTCTCAGTGTGACAGTGAGCATGACGTCACAGTGGGTCAGCCTCACCCTATCCTTTTGCACTTCTACACACTGAGCTGTCAAATAAGTCACATGGTGTCTGTGACTCAATAAGTTAGCAGTCGTTTAAGGGTAAACACATGGGTGTGTACAAACTATGAACGGAAAGAACTATTAATTAGGGATGTACCATAAGGCTTCCTTTGAACCAATACCAAAAACAAATATGTATCTGTTCATAGGGACCAATACTGATGAAATAACACATCATTTCTTTTTTTTTTAAGTAACTATGCTGGGATGCAGGTCTGGTCAGTCTAAAACAAACAGTTTAAGACAGCTCCATAGTCTATCTCTTTTGTAAAGAAACAAATGCATTTTATAGTTTTGCTACAATGGGGTTACATTTGAAATGAAACAAATATTAAATTAATTAACACAATAATCAAATATAACTAGCATTTTTAAGGTTTCTTCAAATCAACCATGTCTATTAAACTTTAATTTTCATTATTGGTGCCTTAGTAGTGGTGCAGCCATTATCAACCTTAGCAATGGGCTGCAGCATAAATTTAAATACAGTGGCTTGAACGTAACAATGCCTAATCAATTAATCTCTTAGTCAAGACCAAGATCAAGACCTAAGGTTAAAAATAAGTCACTTGAAAGTCCATCAGACCTTTTGTGTAATTATTTTTGTACCTAAAAATAAAGCTGCTGTCAATTAAGGTTGACAGACTCGAATGAGGTTAAATTTGTCAATATGATTCTATTGTATGCCAAGGATGGACGGACAAAAACAAAAAGGCTGCCTGTTATGGGACTTCCATGTCACTGTTTCAGAATTAAACAGATTTGATAAAAAATAAAAAAAAAATAAAAAGGAAAAACGTAAACAAGGTTAAAAGATTTTTCAGTACAATTTGTTAGCTAATGTTGTAGAGGTCACAGCAGCCAACTGGTTCACTGTAGATCCTCCACAGAAAGCCAGACAACAGACTAAATTAGTTCTGACCAGAAAGCGAACACTCCACCTACTCTGCTTAACATTCAGACCTCCTGTGCAAAATTATGATAACTTAATACAGATAGTGCAGGCTGATTGATCATGCATCTCCTTCATCATACTGTGAACTTAAAAAGGACATCCAAAGTATTTCACTGAGAAAGTTACTACAGCTTTAAAAGGAGGGAGGATGAAACAACAAAAAGGTCGGCAGCAAACAATCAATACATTTAATATGCCATCACTCAGCTAAGACAGGATAAAAGCCTTCGTCCAGGGAAGACCCCAGTCAACTCAGGACTGCAATGCTCCATTTGGCCACAGACCGACTCTTTTTGCACTGTGTTGATGTATGGCCCAATCTGGGTCAGCTGAAGCAATATGGTATTGTTATTATTGTTGAGGTCAACGTGCAGCCTGTCAAACACATTGCACAGCAGAGTCTTAAAACAGAAAAATGATCACTGTGGGACATTCTTTTCTTTCCTTAAACAAACACATAATTATTTTTGTGCCTTAAATAAAGATGTGGGAAAACAAGCTGTTAATTTTTGTTTCTTGCCTTACTGAAGAAGTACAAAATACAGATGGCAAACGTCAAGGTCACAGAAAGATGAGAAATAAATATCCTCTGTGTTTAGAAGATAAATTTGAAACAATAATCTGCGGATAAATAAAGTAAATTGATAAAAGAAATGGCCAAAATACATTTGGCCATTTAGAAACCAAAGGAATAATGTTGACATTTCTATCATAATAAATATATAACAGTTTAAGTTTAACATTAAGTTGTCTAATGCAATAAACAATAAATATATATAAATATACGGTATATATTTTATGTAATGACCTGTTCATTTACCAAAAAAGTAACTTAGCTAAATTCCAATTCTGTTATATATTACTGAGTTGAAAATTATACCAAGGTAATACATACAGTGTATATGTACTGAACTGTATTCAGTCATTCGCATTACACAGACTATCCAGACTGAAACAAACAGTGAGAGCCGAACTGCTGCAGAGCAAGGATTTGCAGTTGACCACCGATGAACCGCAATGCACTGTGTAGTTAAAATTATGACTTATTACGCAGTTGTGTACTTAAATCCTTAGCAATGCTATTAAAACCAACAGACCGTGTCATTCCCAAACGTGTAGAGAGGTGTTGTCCTCGGAACGGAGAGTATAACATCAGAAATGTTCATGTTTATCACCCGTTTGGGGGAAATATCTCATCTCACCTGAAAATCCAATATCTTTATAATCCATTAGGGTGTCGCCTGTATAAATCCATGTTCTCTCGTAGTCCCAGATATTCCAGTAAAAGCTAGTTATGTGTTGGATTATATAGCAGGTAGCGCTTGTTTAAGGCCAGAGCAGGGAGCCACACAGACTGTAGGAGGAGAAGGCGCAACTTGAAACTGACAGAGAGGAATCGGTTCAAACCATTATAGCGACAAGGAGGGTGAGAGAAAACGAATCCGTGAATAAAGACACAACAAAAATATATTTCGTACGCATACTTTTGATTACAATTCCTTCCGAACCTCGTCTTAAGAGAATTGTATGATCATGTGTTACACGTGGCTGTGTGTTATTGGCGCATATCGGACATTATGTAGACAACTATAAATGCGACACCCCCGTGATTCACTGACGTAAACCAGTGTTTCAACTCAGTTTAATCCGATTGGTGTGTTCCAACGTGACGCAGCAGAAGAGCTGCTGCCTTCACATGGTGTCAAGAACGCCACAGTGATTTACACAACAGCGAAAGGCGGGCATGTTTTCACACGACAGAATGCAGAAAAAGCTCATTTAATTGTAGGGGATTCCGTGGAAGCATGTGTTATGCAGTACCGACTTGGTCGTTGTCGAATTATATTTATTATATATGTTTAATTGGAAATATTCAAACATAATTCCACAAAAGAAAAAATGCACTGCATATAACAATGGAGTTCAAGGTGCCTTATAATGTAATCTTTGATGACAACAATTTAAAATGAAAAACATTCAACAACCTAATGTTGGTACTTGTTGGTACTCTTTCTTGTTATATTTGGTTTTCCTTTGGTTTTTAGATACACAAATAGAGAGATTCAGTTTTCTTGCTTATGCCAATGAATTCCCCATTGTGGGACAAATAAAAGACTTCTTCATATCAAACACTTGAATTTGGCTCCAATATAAATCTATGGGAAACTGTTGTATAACTCCACTAGATTCATTGGTTGCCAATGTAAAACATGTAATTTTTCTTCTAAACCAGTCTGCTGGATGTGAATAAAAGCAGTTGTCCTTTTGTATTCAGATACATGCGATTCTTTCTGTATTTTAAGGTTCTGTTCTCTGCACTAACAAAGCATGGACTTCCACAGCCTTAGTGGAAAACCACTTAAGATTGTAACTTTGGAAAATTATATGTTTATAGCAATTACTTTCAAATGGGAAGACATTGCATGGAAAATAAAGTGGAGTGGAGTCTTCATGTGCTGTCTTCTTTTCTCACTTTCAGTTGTAGACACATTCTCATAATGTGGATACAAATTGTAGCTTACAGGTCATTGACCAAACAAGCCCAAGCTGCAAATGAAAGCCTGGTATTATTGCTGTAATGATTATTCATTTAAGTGTCTTGGATCATTCTCAGTAAAGGTCAACGACGAGCAGCCTCTTAGAAAAACCCACTCAGCTATGGAATGCAGATGTCTTTTGATATGGATCAAAAAGCTCATGTGGACATGAATTGTTTTATTGAAAACACTTTTTTTCTACAGTAAAACACAATTGTGGGAATGTGGATAACACACTGCTGCTACCACATTAGGTTAAGTTTAAGAACTTGGATGAAAACTGTTTATTTTTATATCCTGCACAGTTTCAGTGGGTTTAACATCCTCATGTTTGCCTGAAAGAATTTTCCTGTCTGAATTGAATTTCAAATTGTCGAATTAGTCTTTTAGTTTTTAGAAAAACTGAATGTGTCTTGTTTGTGAAAACTAAAACTGTATTGTGCACGTTGGCACGTTGCTAACACAAAACCAGACAGAATTTTGAAGCAGCTCCATTGTGATACCCAGCACACACAGCCTCCACAAAAATACATTGCACATGTGAGTTTTTCAGTCAGTACAAACTGCCCTAGTTGGATTTGAACATTTTCACTAATTGAAGAAACCACAGGGGGACATAGGATTTAATCACGTCCACTTTCTGTGAAAATGAGAGAGTGAAAGACAGTAGACAGAAAGAAAACAGAAACCCATCGCAAAGGAAATGCAATGAAAACAATGCACTAAATCAAAAAGCCAAAAGCAAAAAAGCACTTGTAAACCTCAGGTAAGAGAAGCTGCAACATTCCAAACATAACAAAAGAAATCACACATGATGTCATCCCAGCAATCTGCCAAGACTTGTGCCATTCCACATCATTAAATATGAATAAGATGCTGATGTTGGATGACAATAAAGGTGAATTACTTACCACACTGAGAGGAGACAGCTGATGGGCAGAAACAGATAATCCAGGAGGTATTCCTCTGTTCGCTTCTTTTTCCTCCCTCCCTCTTCCCCTGTCTTTCTGTCTCTCTCCCCAATGCCTCCCCCTGCCGTTTTTTTCACCAAAGAAAGATGCTGCCTGGATCAGTTCTCATTGTCATGGTAACCAAGACTTGGAAGATGTTCATGTGATCAAGTCTCCTGATCACCGATTGGCCAGGAGCCATAAAGTAAGGAGGGAGGGATGGAACAGTATGGTGATGTCACACAGCCAGCAGTTCACAGATGGGAGGGTACCTCTGTCAGGCCGGCCTGTAACAACACACACAGACACAATGGGTGTCTTTTCAAGGTGAGGCTGAGCTGAAGTAGATTCTAATAAACTGACTAACTGACACGCTGATTATCCTATGGGAATCTGATTTGCGATTCTTACACATTCCTGGACTATAAACAGCCAGGAGCAGGATTTACAAAGTATCAAAAATATACAAGAGCAGCCAAATGTGTCAGCTGGACCGGCTGCATGGCCTACCGAATTTCACAATTTCCTACTGCAATGGGCTATTAATAGCACCACCAACTCAAGCCTGAGCACACTGCTGCTATTCACAAATATACACACATTACTGTTTAAAGTAAATAAATGTTTTTTTATTTAAACAGTAGCCACATCTGCCCTTTCAGTCACTGACAAATACATAACAGACAGAGACTTTGTAGATTAAGGGGAAATGGGATTTCACCATCATTAGAGATGTACAGCACAACACATTGCTGTAGCTCTGATGGTGGATTTCTTTTATCATCAATAACATGCTAACCTACAGTAAATACATTATTGTTCTTTTAATGCCTGTTTTTTAACTAAACATCATGCATAGCTGAAACTGGGATATAAATACAAATTAATAAAACACATCAAAGTCCCATTTGGTCAAATGTCACAATTTCACATATTTTTACTTTTTATATTTTTATGGTCTCTAGCATTAAAATGTGTGTTGGCTAAACTACTAGAGTCGTAAAATAGGTATTTGCTGTAGGTCCAAAAATGCCTTTTGCGTTCATCAGGGCAATAAATATCTCAGAAAGTTTAGGTGTTTTACAGTCATTTTGAGGTTTTCTATTAAATCCAAGCTCAGTGCGATGATGACATGAGTAACCATGGCCCAGGGTTGTAATACAAAGTGTTGTGCAACATTATTGTTTTGGTCCAGCTAGAGTGAAGAATAATCTTGTTGATCTTGAGAGAATCTGTTGTTGGCTTTTTCTTCTCAGCTGATGTCATCAAAGTGGTATGCAACTCCAACATACATGTTTTTAATCCAGATAATTCTGAAAGCACTTTAGCATGGACAAATGTACATATATACAGTATCACATGGAAGGGCACTTTAACAGTCCAATACAAGTATCTCTCACATATCGTTCCACTACTTCATAATACACAGAAATACATATACAGAGTATGTAAGTCTAATACTTTAGTATGGTGGTTTTAAAACACAAACTGCAAAAGGCACCGCTATTTTTTTCCATAACCATTTTTAATCATACAAAACTTTTTCTAGGCTCGTGACCTGATTTATAGATTAATTTGATAACCCAGACACAGATTTGTATAAAAACCTTTGAACATCAGATTAGCCGTGCCTTCACAGCGTCTTGGTTATAATTCATTTGTACACTGTAAAAAAAACAGGTCTGGCTTAGACGGCACTGAAAACAAGACACTTTATAGGTCATGGTTAATGAATCCCAGACACAAAGTAAATGTCATAACATTAAATATCATGTGTGGAAAATTACTCTTTTCTTCAATGCCATGATAATTTACTTGAGGTATGATTTAAGTACGTCTCATCTTCAGTGACCATGAAACAGAGGAGGGGATGATGAGAACTGTGACACTAATCAGTACAGACATCATGTTTATTGGCTGCCATCAGGAGCCTGTTCTGGGCCAGTAAGCACTGAGCTCCAGTTAAGAAGATATGAAAGGCAACACTACAGTCTCTCAGGCAATTTGTACTTAAAGGTTGTATATATATAGAAAGGGCACAGTACTGATTCATTATTTAGCAGCCATCAGATCAGAGTGGGCTAAATGCTAAAAAGTCCACCAGTCCATGCCAGGCACACACAGCTGAGGGCTACTGCTGCTACTATAATTTCTACATATGTGTTTGGTGCTCAATACAAAAACCAATGATTTTAAGACAATGTACAGTATTGTTGTTTAATATAAACACTGCAAATGTGCAAACAATAAAAATCATTGTCTTAATTTTAAAATGACTGACTTTAGCATTTTAACAAACAAATTAAACAATTTGAAATCAATTTTGACCTCAAGGACAACGTTTGGGGTTTGTGGGCCAGAAGTTTAAAGCCCTTGATTTAAAATGTCCAATTTAACCATGTCACAATGTTCACATTTTGGACAATCTCACAGAATGGAAAGGGAGAAAATCCATGTCATTACAGAAAGGTCAGGGGTTAAATGATGATCTCACTGCTGTAAGGCAAGATGGCTAACATCAATCTAACATCATGATATTTAAAAAATGAAGAACTATACAATCATTTTCATTTAAAACATAAACCCTTCCCCCCACTGCAGGGTTGGTATAAATGCAATTGTGATACGGTGGCAGAGCATCATTGCTAGTCCTAATTTCAGTTTGGAGAGTTGATATAAGAAATTAAGATATAAGAAACACACACAAGCAAGGACTTAATCAAGGCAGCTGGAAACAAAATGTTTTTCTTGGGTGCAGCTGACATGTGTGAGATCTGTGTTACACAGTAGTACAACAAGTGCCTCCATTACTGTGGTTGATGGTCATATTACATACATTGATCTGTCGCTATAACCCTGAGTGTATTCCTTGTTTTTGTTCAAGATGAGAATGTATGCCGAGTAAAGGTCATCAGCACTGAACTGATGACTAGGGAACTGAACCCCTGTACAACCCCTGTACAACAACCCAAATACAGATACAGTCAAAAAAACAAGTCAATAATTAGTAGATTTCCTTTTGGTAGGTTTATAGTCTAAAAAAGGCCCTGTCAGTTAAGGGGTTTCAGTCTAAGTGATCCACTTGTTGATAACTGATTGCTTGCTGCTTATTCAGATTTTTGTGCAGGCATAGCTGGATTAGTGGTTGATGCTAAATTCCCTAATCCCACGAAAGCCTTAACAAATGTTCAGAGATACAATAACTAAACAATTCAAAGCTTTTAAACACATCCAAATTGTTAACATTCACAAAGAAAGACAAGAGGAACCATGCCAATCCAAACCAATGATTGAACCAATGAAGTTCTTTCCAGAATTGTGACCGTATTTTAGGTAACATGAATCCACCCAGCTGGAACTTGAACATTTAATTTGCTCCAGCGTGATGAACACTTACCATATACAAACACTGTAAAATCAGTCAGCTGCCACTGAATGTGATGAATGTGAACGGAGAACATGTGTTTATATATATATACTGTATATGTATGTACTGTATATATATACTGTATATGTATGTACTGTATATATATATATATATATAGTATATATATATATATATATATATATACAGTATATACACATTCAAATATATGTATGCGTATAGCTAGTATAGAGAGGAAACAAACATTTCTAAGTAAAAACACCTGAACTGACACAGAGGACAGGAGAGGGCAGACCGTGAGGACAGACATTTAAGGAGGACTGGTCGTGTTTGAGGTCAGTGTGAGTCAGTCTAAATTTAACTGTATGTCTTTTGGAGACCTCAGACTAAGGCTTGCACAGACGGAGAAAAACAGCAGAACTGGTCAGGGTGTGGCTGCACTGGCCTTATTCTCACAGTGCTGACTGTCTGATGTGTCCCTGACGTGCTAACACGGCAGACGTAAATTTAACCATACCTAGAAGCCAAAAGGGTCAAAGGTCATGGCCGCAGCCTTTCGTCTTTGACACTAAATGATCCTATGGCACTACAGAGGTTCTTGAACTAAGTATGGCTGCGATTATGGGTGCTTAGGGGTTAAAGGTCAGCAGGTCTAGATTGATTTGCCATTAGTGGTGATCACCTGACAAGTAAAATATTTCTCTTTGACACAGAGGTTTCCAAAAAGCAGAGTATATCAGTATATCAGCAGTATATATAGCAGAGTGTATCAGAATGTTGTCTTTGTTATGTTACAAGAATCCATGGAGTTGTGTTGATGTTTTAAATTAATTAAATTGCAATGAAACAATCCAGTCTAGGATCACTCATAAATTTGATGTCTTTCTCTAAAATTAGGGACAATATCTCTTTTTATTTGTAATAAACTAACAAAAAAAACATCTGATCTAAAATGTTCATTTCTAGAACACCCTTTTATACCACTAATGTATCTATGCATGTAAAATTTCGAACTTGACATGAGATACATCTTTTGTATATTTAAGCATAAGCCACTGATCGCCTTCTTATTTCCTATTAAGTTTGCTGAGTTCTTGTGTTGCTTGTACTGACTCCCACAGCTTTAATCTAAACAGGCATCACTGCAGCCTGTTCAGAGGCTGCAGTGTAAAAAATCAAATAAGCCCCAATAGAGCACTGACATTGGTGAGTGCCGGTAAATCTGTGGTATTACTGTTTAATAAGTTACATCATAACAAAGTACATCAATATAGCCTATTCTGTGATTAATTTTTTTTTATGGTTAAATCAATATCCGGTGACCACAGCCTTAATAAAAACAAGAGACTTAAAGTAAATAAAACCTATGAACGATGAGATGCAAAAAGTTTTGCTTTTTTAATAATATAATTTAGTCTTTATAATAGGCACTCAATTACATATTACATGCGAATGAAGTCACACCATGTAGAGAAAGGCCTATAATCGGTTAAAGTTGGAATTTTAAAAATACTGTACAGAACTACAAGACTGAGATCAGGTTTACCTCTCCAACAGAGGATGCAGCTACGGCCCAAGCACGGAGCATTTCCTCAACTCTTCAACATTGGGGTCGTCTGGAATTAATAAATGATAAAAAAAGATAAATATGTTTTCAAATAATTATTATTTATAAAAATAATCATAAAACACATACACATCTTAAACAATTCATTCACTTAGATAGAGATAGATAAAATAATAGCAGATAAAATGCTGCGGAAGTTTCTTTCAGTATGGATGTACGAAGGTCATCCGAAGCAGTGAGGAGAAGCTAAAACATCTGCTGTGTGCTAACATCCTGCCTTCTGGGGTCACCAGAAACATGCGAAGTCAAAATGAGGTCACAAGCCAAAAAAGGTTAGGAAAAACTGCTGTGTCATATAACAAGCTGGTTTGTTAGCATTTTTAATGTTAAAGCTGTAGTGTGATTTTCATGAATCACAGAAAATACATTTTTCTATATTTATTATGAAACATATCAACCAACTTAATGGTAGTTTAGGCTGTTTCTGCCTGTTAAAACTTCCAAATATTACACACTTGACCCTTCAGTGCACAGCATGTGGGTCCGCTGTCTTATCGATGTCAGCTCTGCTTCTAAACAGTGTGTCTGTGACCAGACCAGCATTTTAATTAGGCTCTGCTTTGGGCAAACCAGAGTTCCAGTTCTGTCACCAGTGTTGTTGTTTTTTCTCTCTCGTTCAGCAGTGAGCTTTAACTGTTAACGTAGTGAGGACTAAAGTGAACATTAAACATTAGGAGGATTCAGTCTTTTCGCAAACAATCCCTTGAGTATAAAGCAACTTAAGCTATAATGATTTTGTTTTTTGGCAACACAAGTGATACTTGACCCCATCTTGACCCTTACTAATGATGTGAAATAAGATCTGGACTGTTTTTTTCCCTCACTGTGCAATTTAGTTGCAACTTGTTCAGGCAAATGTTGACTCAGTCATTCCACAATGAGCTGAGGTCATGGTTTCAGTCAAATTTAAACTTGATACAGACTGGCCATGATGATCGTCATCTGCGGAGACCGTGCACAAACACTGCCCAAGGACAGAAATCGAATGCTCTTTTGTGGAAACCTGACACAAAACTATTATTGTTTGAAATAAGCATCCATCAGAACGACTGTTTTCTTTATCATGGCAAGGCTACACTTGAGGAAAAGTATCTCTTATTTTTCATTACGTGACCTGCAGGCAAACACACAAAACATGTTAATGAACTCAGTTTTTATCATAAGCTAGTATTGAATAAGATCATTTCTGTTGAGCTGTTAATATACAAAATTAAACTGTCTCTATGTATACTTAAATGAAAATACCCATTCTCATAGGTTTGTAAAAAATACAACAGTACAACCTTGAAGAAAAAAAAAAATATATATTTAAATTTTATTAAATGTGTATTGTATGTCCAACTGTACCATAGAGAGAAAAACATAATCGTTCACATCTATTTTGCATTCAATTGAATGAGAGAGCCTGAAACAAACTGTTGTTATATTTTTAACACTAATGCTAATATTTGGCGTATGATTACAGATTATCCAAGTTGTATACACACTGCTCCCTTGGCACCCAAAGCTGCCCACTGTTCACTTTGGTGATGGGTTAAATGCAGAGGTCACATTTCGTTGTGTGTCACAACATCACAATGACAATGAGTTCACTTTCCTTTCCTTTGCTTATACAACAAAGCAGACACGAACCCTGAATCACACTCTCCCTATTTCTCCTCTCCTCTACACATTCTCACCCTCCAACTTATCAAACCAGATCCTTGCCCTCGGTGTGAATATAAAAAAAGCAAACACAGAACGATTGCTAACAGCTGTTCAAATATTGTGACATGTGATCTCTGGCTGGCACAAAGAGTGCTTGTAACAGACGCCCAGGACACAAAGCCTGGGCGAACAGGGAGGTCATCTCTGCACCCACTGTCCTCAACACTAAAACCAAACACAAGGCGCTGTGTTTGATTCTGGACTTTGTTGAATTTAATTAAATTTCATTTTCTGAACCCAGAGAAAACCCATGTCCAAACCCCTGACAGCAGCACCTGACACCAACATCTAAGTGATCAAACAGAGAGGAAAGACCAAGAGCAGGAAACACCACAATGAACAGAAGGCCTTAAACTGTAAACTTATCAAAGAAGAGACCAAAAGTGACGCAATTAATCCCCTGCAAGAACAAAAGGCACTCTATTCTCTGTTCTTTTCATTGCTTTGTTTTCACTCAACAAGACAATTACTGATTTTTTCTTTTGTGCTCTGCAGAATCTATCACACCTTTAAACAGTCAGTCTCTAATCTCACTTCCTCCTGAGTCAGGCCCTTCCCTTCATCACCAAATGTTGACAGTGCTTTCATTTTTAAAAGTAAGTTTTGGTCACAGGATATCTCATCGTACAACAAAGAGCAGGAAATTGTAGATAAAAGTCAAAAGGATGCCTTTATAGGATGGGTCACGTGCTGCGGCTGGATATTTAAAACTCACCACTTCTTTTCACATGTGAAGAATCACTGATTAAACCGGAACTCTAACTGTCTAATGTGGACCAATATAGGGACAGGGTTTGGGGAAATGTATCACTACTTTGACTTTAAACTGTGAATAACAAATTGTTGATGTCACCATCTGGAAAACATCATGCATTCATACACACTTTTAAAAAACAGAATTGCATTCCAGCATGTGATAGGAGGAGGAACGATGTTTTCAATTTACCGTAATATAAAGGTGTTGACATGAATATATGAAGTTTTAATGGATCTGCTCACTTTTCAAATATGATTTTTCTCAGAGCTCAGTGAGTAAAAGAACCCAGTGTGCAGTAATATCCAGGTGAAACAAAGGAAATGAGCCACCGACCCACCGTGGATCAAAGTATTATTTTATGTCTCTGTGTCTTCTTAGGAGCCAAGTCTGTGGACCCTCTCCAGCAGGAGGAGAAAAGCGGACATGATCTAACACCATACAAGGTCTCCTCCAGTGAGGTGGTGCCTCCACTATGTGATCAGCAGAATAGCTGGTCTCTGATGTAATCCCCTCCTGGTATTTGCTGTAGCTACATTTCATCCAGATTTTTTTATTTTTTTATTTAACAACATAAAGCAGGATTGGCTGGATACAGCAGTCTTATGTGGCCCAATCGTGTCTTTTTTACACACAGGAAGAGGAATTTACAAAAGGCAGTGTGACCATGACAAAATTGTCTAATAATTGTGAGTCGATTTCTCCAAACAAAGTTTCATCTATAGTAAAAATTAATCATTAATAAACTGACACAGGGTGAAGCATTAGTATATACGTTTTCAGACGTTGACGGTGACAGTTACTGCATTGACAGTTACTGTTAAACCAATAACACACAAATCATCAACAGTTTTACATTTACTTCAGACCTTTTAACTTCACATATCAAAGACAGGAAATGTTGGCCTGCGGCTGGATTTCACCTACGAGAACATAATGACAGTGTCTACGTCTTGTTTATGTGCTGGACATCAACCACAAGAACAACATTAATTTCAGCATCCCATCATTTCCCCATCCGGTGAGGGTGTGGAGCAGGGACTTGGATTTCTCTAACTCAGCCTTTCGTGTGGTGTCATTTAATGGGTTACTACAGTAACCACGCACCTCTCACACACACACACGCCCTGTCAGCGGCTCGTCTCCGTCGGAACGGTTCACAGGAGCTGTTGCTAAATGCTGGCCCTCACATGGCCCAGATGGATTTTCTCAGAGCATTACGAAGTGAATTTTGTTAGCATTACATAACCAAAATTAGGAAAACAAACATGGAATACCTTCATGAGAGTAATACTATATAGTATTATATATATATACAGTAAACCCTTGTTTTTCGCGGGGGTTACGTTCCAAAAAGAACCCGTGATAGGCAAAATCCGTGAAGTAGAAATCTTTTTTTTTACAATTAAATACTCAGAAAAAGAAGAGAAAGAACGAACAAACCATTTTACAGTCTCAACCATTTGTTTCACAAATAAAGTAAAATAAAAGTACTTTAGAAACGTTTCAACAAATAACTTCTGTAATGTACTGTCAAATAATAATTTTAATCATCAACGTGAACAGAAGGCTTCAAATTGCGGAGATTAGCACCGCCCACCGTGAACGGGAGAAAATTAAAAATGATTATGAAAAAAATACAAATTACCTGGTCTTGTTGCGGGCAGTTGCAACCCTTTTTGAATCCTTATTAAAACTTATTGCTGCTGTCTTCCTTATGTTTTTTTCTTCCTTCTTTATGGAACGAACGGAAGATTCATTAATTCCATAATGCCGACCTACAGCCGCATAGCTTTTACCTTCATTTAGCATGTCCAATAGTTTTACTTTATCACCGATAGACAGCATCTTCCGCTGCCTTTTGGTCCCTACCGCAGGTACTTTTGCCGGTCCAGAGCGTTTTGTCGACATTATGGGGTTTGATAAACTCGAAATTGCAAGAGAATTTGCACGTACGTAATGTCAATTTGGCAAGCTGTTTTACGTACGTGTACATATTAAACCGCAACGTTATTGGCGCACAGGTAGAGAAGAAGCGGAGTGACTTTTTAGCCAATCAGAATGCAGAACACAATGCACGATGCAAATCCGTGAAGTAGCGAAACCGTGAAAAGTAAACCGCGTTATAGCAAGGGATCACTGTATAACAGATTATTCTTTAAAACATTCAATAACAGTTGGGATGGAGGCAGAGTCAGTCTGTAGAGTTCATATAAGTTGGGTCACAGAAGTCCATTCAAAACAATGCATTAGTGCAGGACATTAAATATTTCATTGTGGTCACTGGAGCAAAAGTACTGTAATAAATATTGCAATAAGGAAAAAGCTCCGTAATAATCTGCTATTTAGCAGCAGTTTATTACGGAGCTTTTTCCTTATGTATGTGACATACCAGTATTACTGATGAGTAGCATGTCAAGCTCATTTTTACTGAGGGTTCATGGTTGCCCACCTACAGAACTGTACAAACCTAATGTTTACACAACCTGGAGAAATGTAGAATTTATTCATTGTTTTGTTAATTAAAA